ACTTGTCTTCCTTCCCTGCTCCTCTGGGGAGTCTTTCATGGGCCCTTGCCCTGAGATGCATTCTGGACCACAGACCTTGAGTGTGGGCCTTGGCACGTCACATTGCCCTGAAAGACTCATGGATGGGGCGGAACTGAGAACTGGCCAGAGTGCAGAACGATCTCCAGGACTCCTCCCTGCCCTTGCCTGGGTTGAATCGAGACCCAGAGCACACCCCAGCCAGAGGCCTGCAGCCAGGATTCATCTGAACAGAATCCTCGGGCACAGGCCTGAGGGAGGAACGGGGTGCAGAGACAGACAGGCAGTATGTGTCCAGACACACTCCACAGCTGGAAGAAAGGAATCATTTCAACATAGCAGCCACATCAAAGGGACTGCTGAGAACGGCAGGCACAGACAGTTTCTCTCTGGCTCTCCTCTGCAAAGATGGCCTTCAAGATTCTAATTTCTTTCTTTCTTTTTTGTTTGTTTGAGACAGCGTTTTGCTCTTGTTGCCCAGGCTGGAGTGCAATGGTGAGATCTCGGCTCACTGCAACCTCCACTTCCTGGATTCAAGTGATTCTCCTGCCTCAGCCTCCAGAGTAGCTGGTATTACAGGCATGCACCACCATGGGCCTGGCTAATTTTGTACTTTTAGTAGAGACTGAGTTTCACCATATTGGCCAGGCTGGTCTCAAACTCCTGACCCCAGGTGATCTGCCTGCCTCGGCCTCCAAAAGTGCGGATTACAGGTGTGAGCCACCTCTCGCAGCCAAAGACCCTAATTTCAAGATGTCATCAGACAGCAGGGGGACAGTGGAGTCAAACCTGCCAGCGCTCCGTTGTCCTGCACACTCCCCACCAGCCGCAGCTTTTCCTCAGCTGCAGGCACCCGGGGCAAAGGCTCTGCAGGAGCAGACTCCTGGGCAGCCCCAGACAATTCAGAGAGAGCCGCTGCGGGGAGAAGCCTAGTCCTGTGGTCAGAGGCTTTCTGAATTCCCAGAGCTCCCTGGCTCAGCCAATGACCAGAAAAGCCTCTGACCACAGCCAGAAGGCCCTGCTGCAGTTTGCTAAGGCCGCCCCCTGTGCCATGGGGCTGAGGAAGGGGAGAGGGCATACCTGAGTCGGGGCGCCCATTCCCAGAGGCCACGCAGAAGCCAAAAGTGCCCTCCGGGGAGCGCTGCAGCTGTAGCTGGCTGGTGCCGTCTGGGAACACCTCCACCAGGCGGCCCACTGTGCGAGCCAGGCTGGGAGCACCCACATCCTCCACACTGAGGGCACGCCGTGGTGAAGCCCTGGCTGGCCTATGAGGGAACCAGAGACACAATGAGGGCAAAAAGCATGGGGCACTGGGCGCAGCTCCTCCCTGGCTTACAGAGGACTGATACCTCACAGACTAAGAGTCTGGCATAGGAGACTGGGGTTCCGCTGACCTCAACCAGCAAAAAGAGTCTGCTAGGGCCAGAACTGGTGGGTTTCCACCGCTGTGCAAGGCCTGCTTGGAACTAGAAAGCCCACCCTCCCAAAGCAGTGGTTTCAAATTTGGTGGGATACAGAGACCTCTGTACGAATCTGAGAAAAGGCATAATTTTGAGTCACATTTCCAGGAGCTGACATACACCCTGAAGGACATACACATGAAGCTCTAGGGAACAGCAGCCCGCCTGCAGGGCCTCACCAGACAGGGTGGGCTTTATCCAAGTGAGTCATGGATCATGGGCTTCTTTGGGGGTCTCTGTCTCTATGTGTTTATTTGGATCTTTAGCTGGGCTAAGAACACTCTCTAAATTTTCTGATTTCAAGATGTTGTTGGACATCAGAGGGACAATGGAATCAAACCAGCCAACTCCACCTGATCCAGCAACTCCAGGCCTTCTCAGAGCCCCGTTCACTGAGGGTCGGTGCAGGGCACTGAGGTGCTGAGACTCTGGTGGCAGCCTTGTTTCCACACATCAGATGTGCCGGAGGGAGCACTTGCTTTCTTAAGGGACCCTGCTCATAGCCCTGACGCCGAGGCAGGGAGGAGTGAGGCTTTTGGCCCCACTGGCCAGTCTCTAATGAGTTTGTCCTCCAAAGCGTGTGTGCCCAGTCTTACCTGCCAGCTGCACTGTGGTCCCCTGGCCCCGCTACCAGGTAGAGGCTAGACCGGTCCCCCTTGCCGCTCAGCAGAGAATGGAGGTTCTGGAAAGAGGCAGCTTTCTGGCGCTGGTGACAGGGTGACACCTGATGGGAAAGGGCCAATATTGCAGGTGAGAAAAGCCACCAGGGTGGCGCTGACAGAGGACTTGGCCCCCACCATGAACCTGAGGGCCCTGTAGGAAAGTGACAGCGCAAGCTTTTATCATTGCTTCCAGGAATTCCACGGGAGCCGCCATGACTTTACTCAAGGAGATGGGTCTACATAGGCCGTCTGGGGAGTCAAGGGATTTTTCGTTTTGTTTTCTAGCTGAAATAACAACTGTAGTGCTATACTAATCACCTCATCGATTAAGAAAATCTAATGTACTCATTAAGGAAGAAATGAAAGTAAGTTTGTTATAGAGTAATACCACTTTAGAGTTAAAATTCGAGATATTGTTTTGTGATTCTTTATTATGTCTTTTGTGATTGCTTTCATTCAAAAATGTAAATTGAATTTTGTACCTTAAAATATTGTGAATAAAAAGTTAGACAAGAGATCCTTCAAGGCACTCACAAAGTGATGGGGGCAGGGCTGAGCACAGGTAAGTTACAAGGCTCCAGTACACATTAAAAGGAGATAGTGTGTGCCGGGCGCAGTGGCTCACACCTGTAGTCCCAGCACTCTGGGAGGCTGAGGCGGTTGGATCACCTGAGATCAGGAGTTCGAGACCAGCCTGGCCAACATGGTGAAACCCTGTCTCTACTAAAATTACAAAAAGTAGCCAGGTGTGGTGGCAGGCAACTGTAATCCCAGTTACTTGGGAAGCTGAGGCAGGAGAGTGACTTGAGCCTGGAAGGCAGAGATTGCAGTGAGCTGAGATCGCATCACTGCGCTCCAGCTTGGGCGACAGAGCCAGACTCATCTCAAAAAAAAAAAAAAAAAAAGAAAGATGATGTGTAGTGTGGCGGAGAGGGACTCTGGCTCGGGGGGTTTGGGACACTGAAGGCGCTGACACTTGAAACAAGAGCTGTCCAGACGAGGAGAGAGGTAAGATTGTACCCATCAGAGGAAAATGGTTTATCCAAGGCATGGAGAGATGTGAGAAAGCACGGTCATTCCAGAGCATATGCATGGTCTGAGTGGCAGGCCATACAAGTCGTGGCCTAGAGCCGTGGGGCCAGGCCTGGAAGGTCCTGATGTGCCCTGTAAGGAGCTACTGAGTGATGCTAATACAAGTGATAAGATCAGAACTGTGTTCTAGAAAATGACCCGATGAGGAAGCAATTCTGAAGGCCGGCGAGATAATCAGTGGGGCCTCCATTCAGCCTGCATCCTCTTCCCTCCCGCAGTCTGAGAAATGAAGGGGCTAGGGAGGCTGAGGCAGGGAAAAGCAGTCTTTGACACAAATATCACCCACATTATTGGTTACATTTGGAATCCTTGCTGCTGTGGTCTGAATGTCTGTATCCCTCCACAGAGTCACAGGTTGAAACCTAATCACCAAGGATGGGGCTTTTGAGGGTGATTAGGTCATGTGGACAGAGTGCTCAGGAATGGGATTAGTGCCCTCACTACATGAGGTTACAGTGAAAAGAAAGCCACCTATGGAGAAGCTGGGCCTCACCAGACACCAAATCTGCCAGAGACTTGATCTTGGACTTCCAGCCACCAGAGAACTGTGAGAAATAAATCTCTGTTGTCTGAAAGCTACCAGCTTCGGGGATTTTGTTATACCAGCCTGAATAGACTAAGGAGTGCTCTAAAGAAGGCAGGCGCAGAATCAAGAAGCTTCAGAGGGGGCCTGACCTCGTGCCTGAGTTCAAGAAGGCTTCCTGGGAGATCATGTTGAACTCTGCCCTGAAGCTAGTTTCCTAGGAAGAAGGGGGATAAGGAGAAGGAAAGAGAGCCTTCTAGATGCAGGCTCAAAGGCTCACGGGGAAGGGCCCCAGTCCGCTAGAGAACATGGGAGCAGCCAGGGTGGGCAGGAGCCATGGCAGGGCAAAATAAAAGCAAACCTCCGGCTGGGCACGGTGTTTCACACCTGTAATCCCAACACTTTGGGAGACCAAGGCAGATGGATCACCTGAGGTCAGGAGTTTGAGACCAGCCCGGCCAACATGGCGAAACCCCATCTCTACCAAAAATACAAAAATTAGCCAGGCATGGTGGCTGGTGCCTATAATCCCAGCCACTCAGGAGGCTGAAGCATGAGAATCACTGGAACCCAGGAGGTGGAAGTTGCAGTGAGCCGAGATCACCTGCTGCACTCCAGCCTGAGTGACAGAGCAAGACCTGTCTAAAAAAAAAAGATCTACCATTCAATCCTACAGTCCCACTACTGAGTATCTACTAAAGGAAAAGAAGTCATTATAAAGAAAAAATTTGGTTCCATATCTTTGCAATTGCAAATTGTGCTGCAGGGTGTGTGCACATGTATATAGCAGCACAATTTGCAATTGCAAAGATATGGAACCAACCTAAGTGCCCATCAACCAACAAGTGGATAAAGAAAATGTGGTATATATACGGCTGGGCACAGTGGCTCTCGCCTGTAATCCCAGCACTTTGGGAGGCCAAGGCAGGCAGATCACCTGAGGTCAGGAGTTTGAGACCAGCCTATCCAACATGGTGAAACCCCCTCTCTTCTAAAAATACAAAAATTAGCTGGGTGTGGTGGCGTGCACCTGTAATCTCAGCTACTCAGGAGTCTGAGGCAGGAAAATTGCTCGAACCTGGGAGGTCGAGGTTGCAGTGAGCAGAGATTGCACCACTGCA